CGGCGAAAACCGCGGGAGGAACATTCCGGTTTGTGAACTGTTTTCAGAGTAATGCAAACACCGCCGGCGAAAAATCCCACCACCATCACCGCTTTAGGCTACCTTTGGTGCCACCTTCAGGTCCATCAAGAAGACATAATTTGCCAAGGAGTACTCAACTTTTACATGGAAACCGCAAGGGATATTACCGCGGGAATGGCCGCCGGAGTTGATTCCGAGATGAAACAAGGCATGTGACTTTTGGAAGATACATATATATATATATGTAGGAAGAAAAAATGAAGGTATGAACATAGTTTGTGTCCCACACTGTTCATTCTTTCATTTTCTTCTTTCACTTTTATAAATGTAATGCAAAATATGACGCGTTGTGGTATTTACAATTTACCGACGACTAAAGCAATAACAACTAGATGTATCAAAAGTGTGATGAGGTCACTTGTATCAAAGTGATATTATCATTTCTTGTATCATATATGTTTTTTTTTTGTGTGTGTGTATCATATATGTTACTAGTACTTCTTATAACTATTTTGGTGTATATCGTTCTCTTTTCGTTAAAGACTTTTGTTACTATAGGTCCTTACTGTTGCGCTAAGGGTCTATTGTTTCCAAAGTGACAATCACCAAAACGATAAGCCAAAACGGTAAGATAATCGTTGCGGTTGACAAAAAATCAAAACAATACAAAATATTTCTTCAAAACAATGTCAAAGTGTGGTAGAAACTTTGTTTGGCTCTATTTTTTTCATCTCTTCTAGTTACCACTCTCTCTTTATATTTGTACTATTATGTAACTTCTTACTGTCTTTTTGACCGATTTGGGTCATCATCCAAAAAAAATTTACCACGTTGGGTTACCAATCGGACAATTACGACATTGTTTCCTAGTCACTACTTGTAATAGTAGGAGTTATACCAATTTAATGTTTACGTTCCACTTGTTAGAAAGAATAAATTGAAAAATTACATTATCTAAGATACAATATAGCCATGGATGAGGGAATTTGAAGAATCGGCAGTTGCAGTTATAAGCATTATTGATTGTTAATGACTAATGTGACATTAAGGGTTTACTGCTATGTTATAATAGAGTAACAAAGGTAAGAGTAAACTCCTTTTGGACCCACCATATTATAGTAAATTTTCTCACCACATATATCTAATGGAAAAGTTATCGCCGGAAAGAATGCAAAACATTTGATAACAAAATAAAAATATTGTTTTCCATCTTTTTGCTTTGTCACAGTCTAAATTGGTATGTTTGTGGGATACTTTTGGTTAATTGACGAATACGATCACTTAAATACAAAATTACCAAAATAAACATAATATAACAGGTTATAAAGCAAACAACAAAACCATTTATTGTAATAAATACAGTACATGCTAACCTATGCGCTTTTGAATTTAAATCACGTGGGATAAACCAAATAGAGAAGGTTGTGAAAACCTTCTTAATCTTCTCAAATTCTTTCAAATGAATGCATGCCAATCCGAAAATGTATACACCATCTTCATCAGAACAGTTTGTTGCAAAAGCTACCATCGTCATCGTTTTTTGGTAAACGATAAGAAGTTTTAGTTTCGAAGACAGAGGCAAAGATTTCTAGCGCCCATAATTTATCCTTTTACTTCAGTTAATAAATGAATCGAATATTTAAAATTTAAAACATTGATATAACACCATTTGATGAAAGACAATAAACCGCCCACCACCACAACACAACTACTCGAAACAACAATTACTCCCACCATTTCAAAATATAAGTTGTTTTGAAAGTTTTTTTATGTTTCAAAATATAAGTTGTTTTGATAATAATATGTACTTTTTAAACT